AGACGGGTAACCCATTCACACTGTTCAAAACTCAAAAAGTATAAAAAGTTGTGGAATGAGGGGCACCTGGGTGGCTCAGTCGGTTAAGTGTCTGCCTTCAGCTCAGGTGGTGATCCCGGAGTCCTGGGATCGAGTCCCGAATTGGGCTCCTTGCTCAGCGGGGAGCCTGCTTCTCCCTCTGTCTCTGCCCCTCCCCGCCCCCACTTGTGAGCTCTCTCTCAAGTAAATAAAAAAATAAAATCTTATAAAAAAAAAACCAAACCTGTAAAATGAAAATCTCCCTCCTACCAACAGGTAACCACTGATACTTGTTTTTAAGACTCCTTCCAGAAACTTTCTCTCTTAACACAGACATATAATATCCTGTTGTATAACTTATACACCAGCCCTCTACGGATAGGCATTCAGTTGTTTCAAATCTTTTGCTATTACAAATATCTCTGCAGTAATAGCCCAGTGCATAGGCCTCATGCATATGATCAAATCTGTGGAGAAATTTATAAAAATCGATTTACTGGTCACAGCCTCCACATTAGCTTTCTCAGAGCTCAAAAGCTCAGCTTTCTCAAGGGCATGAACAACATTCATTATTTCATTTATGGGATCCCCACTTAGAGTGGCGATGGCCTCCACACATTCTGACATGAAGTTGCCAGAGAACACCTCCATGTAGTTTCCCTCAGCATTTTGAACTTCTGTAACAGTGGTGTAACATCTTTGTCTGGAAAGTCTACCACCTGGGCCTCCTGGGGCGGGGGTGGGGGGCCACGGGGGAAGCTTCTATTGACTGTTTTTTTTTTTCCCTGAGTATGGGCCACACTTTCCATTTCTTTCGGTGCTTGAATTTTTTTTATTTCAAGTGGACACTGGAGATAATATGATATGGCAACTGTGGAAATGAGGATCTCCAGCCTGTGCCCTGGGTTTGCTGTTGCTGCTAGGTGCTTCCTGGTGACTTTCCTGTTCTAATTCTCTGAAGTCTGTCTTCCCTGTTGTGTGCAGATACTGAGGTCTCTGCTTGCTTAGGTTGGTGGTCAGCCAGATGACCAGGCAGGGTGTCCTTCAATGCTTGGAACCAGTGAGTCTTCTACCCTTTGCTGATGAGCTTGGTGTGTGTGTGTGGTGTGCTCACCTTCGATGTTCGAGCAGCCTACATGTCTGTCTCAGCCTTCACCACGTGGGACCTGAAGATCAGCCGAGGTGAGGGGCTAGGACCCTGTCGTGTCTTTCCCAGGCCTGAGCCAAGTCCTGCACGTGTGCACAGCCTTCCAGATCCCCAGGGCATTTCAAAGCCAACTACGGAACATCTCGTTCCCCAGATCTCCCTTTTAAATGTTTGGCCGGGCTCTTCTCTGCCCAGCTGGTATGACAGCGTCAGCACACAATGGCAGGTGACTGCTTTAGACTAAAGTCCTAGGGACAGAGCTTCTTGCACACAGCCGTCTAGGAGGCAGACCAAAGAACAAGCCCTGGGATGGAGCTCTCCCAGGAAGCTGTGGGACAGGTGCCCACGTCCTGCAGACTGGACTTCCTGAGGAATTCAAACCCCATCTGCCCCCAGTGGCTGCGAGGCTGCTGGTCTTCACAGCTCCCGTAGTTCTGAAGCTGCAGAATTTTAAGGCTACTGCAGAAGCGGAGAGAGGATGCGGGAAGGCCAAGTTAAAATGCCACAAATGCTACTGTTCTTACCAAGGTCGGTGCTGTGCTAAGCACTTTGCTTCCAACACCCCATTTAATCAACAACCCTGTGAGGCTAGAACTATTATAATCTTATTTTTCAGAAGAGGAAACTGAGGCAAACAGATTTTCAAGTGGCTTGCTCCAGGTCTCATGGCTCTCAGAGGCAGCATTAGTGTTGGTTTATGAACCATAATCTGATTCCAGTCTATTCTCAATTACTGTGCACTGTACTACTTTTCATTTGTGGAGAAAAATTCAGAGAAACTAAGTTTAGTTAAAAGTGTAGCTGAAAATGTCCACAACAGCCAAACTGTGGAAAGAGCCAAGATGCCCATCGACAGATGAATGGATAAAGAAGATGTGGTATATATACACAATGGAATATTATGCAGCCATCAAAAGGAATGAGATCTTGCCATTTGCAACGACGTGGATGGAACTGGAGGGTGTTATGCGGAGTGAAATAAGTCAGTCAGAGAAAGACATGTATCATATGACCTCACCGATATGAGGAATTCTTAATCTCAGGAAACAAACTGAGGGTTGCTGGAGTGGTGGGGGTGAGAGGGATGGGGTGGCTGGGTGATAGACATTGGGGAGGGTATGTGCTATGGTGAGCGCTGTGAATTGTGCAAGACTTTTGAATCACAGATCTGTACTTCTGAAACAAATAATGCAACATATGTTAAGAAAAAAGAAAAAGAAGATAGCAGGAGGGGAAGAATGAAGGGGGTGGAAATCGGAGGGGGAGACGAACCATGAGAGACGATGGACTCTGAAAAACAAACTGAGGGTCCTAGAGGGGAGGGGGTGGGGGGATGGGTTAGCCTGGTGATGGGTATTAAAGAGGGCACATTTTGCGTGGAGCACTGGGTGTTATGCACAAACAACGAATCATGGAACACTGCATCAAAAACTAACGATGTAATGTATGGTGATTAACGTAACAATAAAAAATGTTTTAAAAAAGTGTAGCTGAATATGGGGGCGCCTGGGGTGGCTCAGTCAGTTAAGCATCTGACTCCTGATATCAGCTCAGGTCATGATCTCAGGGTCGTGAGTTCAAGCCCTGCGTTGGGCTCCACAGAGTGTAGAGCCTATGTGGAGCCTACTTTTAAAAAAAAAAAAAAAATTTTTTTTATTAAAGGTGTAGCTGAATATGAACTCATGAGGAAGATGAATTATAAATTTTATAGAATATATATTTTACATAAATTACCAATGAGTTCTTTCCCTAAATTAGTCATTCTTAACCACGTTACAGATCTGAACCCTGTGCAACTTTTACAATTCTACCTGCACAACTTCATCTCTCCCTGTACTATTTAGGATGGAACGTAGACGTTTGCATTTTTTAAAGTTCTGTAGAGGCTCTGAAACTCAGTCCCAGCCAAGAACCACTACATTAGACTAAAAAACGCCTTAAAATTAGAATTGTATCAACTATTTCTGGGACAGGTGTTCACATAGGAAGGACATCTCTTAGGGAAAATGGTAGAAAGGAAAAAGCCCAAGGTTTGGGAGTTAGAGACTTGAGTCCTAGACCTCCTACTTGCTCCATGTACGACCCAGGGAAAATTAATTTCTCTGAACCTTACTTTTTTCATCTATAAAATAGAAGTTTAAAAAACAAATCTAGTTCTTAAAGTTGTTACAAGAAGAGATAACATATGCTGGAATGTCATATGCACTCAAATGGGAATTGTTATAATTTACCCTGAAACTGATGTTAGATTTAAGAATTCAGCAAATATGATGCACTGTCAACTCTGGACAAAATCTACTCTGTGAGGTAACTGAGCAAAAACTCATAATCTCATACGGGAGAGAGGCATTCTCCCTAAAAAGGAAAACTGTGATGAGCATTAACACAGGCATATTTATTATAGGATGGGAAAACAGAGGAGGAGAAATAATTCTGATGTGGAAAAGGTTCTTAAAAGTGCAATGTGAACAGTACCTTGAAAGAACGTTAGGTATACTCCTTGGGCCTTACTGCAGACCAGTGGTTCTCAAACATTAACATACATCAGAATCACACAGGGGACCTGTTAAAACACACATTGCTGGGCCCTACCGCAGCCTTTCGGACTCAGTAGGTCTGGAGTGGGGCCTTAGGATCTGCATTTCCCAAGTGACACTGATGCTAATGGTAAAAGGAACCCCCTTTGAGAACCACCACTCCAGAGAGAGAGAGAGAGAGAGCGAGAGAGAGAGCTTGAGCAAAACTGCCAAGTGAGAGACTGCGTATCCCTGAGCTATAAGAAGGCAGTTTCTGGGACACCTGCTTTGTGTGAGTGGATAAAGAATATGGTCAGATCTAGACATAAAAACCTTCTAACTAAAACACTTCCTTCTCTAACAAGAGGCAGATAAACTGCCCTTCCGAGGAAGGAGAAAGGACATTCAAGACTCTGTACGGTAACGCAGGTTAGCTGGACGTGTTGCGGTGACCATTTTGCAATACATAACAAATATCAAATCAGTATGTGATACACCTAAAACTAATATAACATTAAATGGCAATTACAGCTCAATAAAAATAAAATTTAGAAAAAGAGTAAGCAAAATAAAACACACTTAAAATAATGCATTAGCTCTATCAATACAAGAAAACACCAGTCAAACCCAAATTGAGGGATACATTTTATAAAATAACATACCAGTACTTTTCGAAAGCATCAAGGTCATGAAAAATAAGAAAGGACTAAGGAAATGTCACAGACTGAAGGGGACTACAGAGAAAGAATACCTAAATGCAACATGGGCTCTTACGTCGAATCCCAAAACAAAAGACAGTCATAGGAAAATTCTATTAAGTCTAGAGTTTTTGAGTTACTGAACCAACATTAATTTCTGCATTTTGATTATTATGCCACAGTTATGTAAATTGTTAATAGTAGGGGAAGCTTAGTGAAGATTATACAGGAAAACTCTTTTCTCTACATCAAAGATATTTCCAAATATAAAGTTAAAACCAAAAAACTAAGCCAAAACTAACTACTCTTCCATGATATGACATTCATTATCTCTAACCTGGTGTCTTTCAACTCCAGTTGCTACTCCCAGCTTAGTGGCACACAAGTCATCATCGGTAAGGTAACGAGGCAAGAGACTTCGGGGCACACAGTTCATTCAATGTACAAAGAAGAGAAACGCAGTGTCACTCATGTTCTTTATAAATGAGAATTTAACACTGACACATCCGGAATTTTAATATTTTACTTAGCATGCTAAAGGTTAAAATTCTGCAAAAAAACCCCCAAAAGTTCCTATTTAATGGTCTCACTTACAAATTTTAAGGAATGTTCCATACTCACCAAAACCATCAATATCTAGGTTATTTTCAATCACAACATCTAGTAGAGAGTCACCAACTTTTCCTTTGGCTGTTAATGTCTCACCGTCACGGTTTACAAAGTGGACTGTTATTTTATCTTCTGAGCTGGAAAAGGAAGCAGTCCTTCATTATTTTTAATAATTTCAAGGGATACTTTAAAATAATTGTTTTCAGAACTTATAAGGTCAAAGAAAATAGGATGTGCATGTATGGAGGCACACCCACGCACACAAATATGTTTTTTTATAGTATTTTCTTTCCTTTCCAAAGTTTGAGAAGAAGACATCACAAAGCAGAGGCATGTCTATCTCTCCATCTACCAGAGAGGAAGCTCTACCTACCACCTTAAAGGAAAGAGCATCCACACTCCTATCAAGGCCACCTGCTGTGCCTTGGGTCACAGTCATAGGTCACGGTCATAGGTCACAGTCATGTGAAAACATTTAGCAATCCTCATCAGTCAGGAAATCTATGTTGCTCTCACACAGCCCTCTGAAAAGCAACGTCTCTATGGAGTGTCCCTAAAAGACGAGACCCTGGTTGTGGAGAGCCATAGAAAGGCCCATTGTTCTGCAATCAGTAAGACACCTGTTGTGCAGGTGTCCGGTAGGTAGTGCTGCCGGGAGGCAGTGGTCCGATCGTTTTCTGAGCATTTAAACATCTCACTTTGGTCCACACCATGTACTCAAAAACCAAAGGGACTAGCGTAGATTTGTATTTGTTTCAATCAATGGGAAGATAAATATAATGCCTCCTTACGTGTTTTATTATAGGATATTATATTATCCATCAGAGTTAGCTCATGACTGACTTAAATTTCTTTCCCTTCTCACAATTTGGGAGAAGAAATTATATTAGCAACTAGATGCTTGTCATCTACCACTGGTCATTTTTAATTTTTACCTCACAACTGAAAAGATGTACTTCAGCTAAAATAATTAGTTGTAATTTTCACTACTGCCAATAGATGGTAATAATCCAGCAAAGAAAACTTTAATGTAAGTAATAACCTAGAATTACATAATCCCAAATTATCAAGTAAATTATCTTATTTAACAAATGAGGCAAGTGAAAGCCCCTTTCAGATAACGCCCTCCCTGATAATTCAATGCTGGAAAAAGAGAATTCTGAGAATTAAAAATTATCAACTGTGTGTGTGTGTCTAAGAGAGAGAAAGAGAGAGGGAGGGAGAATGTCCCTCCAAAAGGGCCTGTGCTCTCCAACTTCTTTTCACAGCCAAAAAATACTTTAGAAATAAGTACTCCTGAACATTATTCATGATTTTCAACTAGATAACTGCCATCTCTTCAAGGCAGAATGGCTGCGAATGAAGATACTCTGGAGGCAGGGGTGGACCCCACTTTGGAGGTTATTAAAAAAATACAGACTAAGAAAGAACGTAGGAGACACTGACCTCAGGGATATTCAGGAGGCAGAAATAGAAGGTTTTGCGGACCATCTATACAAGGTCGATTGGGAAAGAGGGAAAAAACAATGTTGAAATCTGCAGCTCAGGCAATGAGGGGGTCCAGTTTAACCTAGAGTTAACAGAGATGGAGCAGCTTTGGGGAAGATGGAAATGAGTTCCAGTCTAAACCTGTTTTGAGTTCAAAGAAAAAAACCAGAGGAGAATGTCCAGAAGCCAGATGGAAATATGGGTCTGAGCCCAGCACTTCCGTCTAGGGATCTGACGTGCACAAACGCCCGGGAGCTAAAGCTGCAGGACGGACAAGAGCAAGAATCCCATCATGTATGTGCACCACTGAAAGCCAGAGGTTTTACGATTGCTCTTCTTCTGGATCATTCTACAGCTAAGCTTACAGCACAGAAATCTCTGATATCAGGCCCCTCTTCTGTAAAATCAGGGTAACATTTATATTCTAATTTTAACAGTGGAGGCAAAATACCTAATGCAGAGGAGCACTCAACAAACACAGATTAATAACTTTAAGGCCTCAGTCCTTTTGTTCCTAAGAAGCCTAAAACTGCTGTGTATTAGGAGTGTACAGTCCCCAGAAAAAACTGCAGAGTGAGAGCAATGACAGGTTTGCCAAAGGACCGAAGAGGACGCAGAAACGAGAGAGGAAGGGTGATCCGCAGCTGACAGAGTATGGGATGTAAAGACGGTGGGAAGCCACTTACTTCCTGGCGGGGGGGGGGGGGCAGATGGGGACAACAGTGACTTCACCAAGCGGCTGAGACAATCAAAGTCTATGGAAACTCTGTTCCTTAAAGCATTATACACATGTATGTTACCCAAATAACTTTCTCCGTTTGCTATTAGTAATTAGTATTGGTGGGTTTTATATCTCCCCCCCCTAATTCTGAGAACTAGCCAAAAGCACTGAGCGGTTCCCCAGGATAAGATTTCATGCCCTGAGAAATACAATCCTTCTAAATCTTCTACCATCATCAATTAATCAGTCAGCACCACACGCAACTCTTTTCTTCACTTGTTACCTTTTCCTACTGTCATTTATTCTGCTCAACCACAGCAGGTATTTTAAGGAAGCTGTCAGGGTGCTCACCATAGCACATACCCTCCCCCATGTCCATCACCCGGCCACCCCATCCCTCCCATCCCCCACCACTCCAGCAACCCTCAGTTTGTTTCCTGAGATTAAGAATTCCTCATATCAGTGAGGTCATATGATACATGTCTTTCTCTGATATAGTAAATGTTAAAAAAAAAAAAAAAGATAGTAGGAAGGGAAAAATGAAGGGGGGAATCGGAGGGGGAGACGAACCATGAGACTACGGACTCTGAGAAACAAACTGAGGGTTCTAGAGGGGAGGGGGGTGGGGGGATGGGTTAGCCTGGTGATGGGTATTAAAGAGGGCATGTTCTGCATGGAGCACTGGGTGTTATACACAAACAGTGAATCATGGAACACTACATCAAAAACTAATGATGTAATGTATGGTGATTAACATAATATAAAAAAAAAAAAAAGGGAAGCTGTCAGGGGTGGCGGTGATAAAGTTCGTAACAGACTTCTCCCAGGGAGGGAAGTAATAGCTGCTCATGCCCACCTTTTCACCATATTGGGGGGGGCCCCCTGAGGCACTTGGTCCAAGGAAAGGGCCCCTTCTAGGGCTCCCTACTTCCATAACCACCTTAACTCTTCCAAATGACTCTATGGACTAAAGAATTATCAACTCTTACAGTGCTCAAGAAAACAAGCGAAAACGACTTAAGTTGTATTCCTAGTATGCCAACCACTTGACACGAAATTTTTATTCCCTACCCCACCTACCTCCCAGGATTTTCTTGAGAGTGAAGAACAACAATTTTTGTGAAAGCCCTTTGGAACCTAAATCACTACGAAACATAAAGTATTTTGTCAGGATATTTTGGAGCAAAAGGAGTTTTTTCAACTCTCAATTACTGATGACTTAGCTACATGTTAAACTTCCCGAGACAGGACTACAGCCTCCAGGCTGCTCTGTTCAATGGAACTTTCTGCACTAGCAGAGATGTTCTGTACCTGCAATGTCCAGTACAGTAGCTACTGGCCCCACGCGGCTGTTGAGCCCTTGACATGCGGCCACTGCAAATGGAATACTGATTCTTTTCACTGTATTTAACGTCCGTTATCTTAAATAGCCACATGTGGTTAGTCATATCCAAACTGGAAAACACAAGCCTCAGATAGTAAGAGTTGGAAAATCTAGTTGTAGCTCCAAAGTCTGTAATACAAGGCACAAGGCCATCCACTGAAACTGTGTCAATGAGGAGGAAAGCAGGATTATGAGGGAATGGAACAGATGTGCTTCCCTCTGACACAACTTGATAATAACCAAGTTCAAACTTAATAAATTTGGGGGACACAATACCCATTTACAAAAGCACTCATTTTCTTTAAATATTAGTTTCGTAAATATGCTCAATACATGTCCCAATTTATACACGATTTTTCAAGAATGCACCCATTGCAGAAAGCAAGACATATGCATGTAGAGAGGTCAAGGCAGGGAAATGTCAGGGAAATAGGGACAAATAAATCTGGCTTGCCTTCTCCATTATCTCCCTCACAGTCCACGCAACAAAAATTTATTGACCACACACTACATAATAGGATGAAGGGGAAAAGATTAAGTCCTAGCCTCTGTTCTTGGAGACCTTACCAAGAAGAAACCAGATAAGGCAGCATACAAATCCAACACTCTCTCCCCCCAGTTCTTGCATCCTGCTCCGGGACAGCAAGGGGTCAGAGTTGTTCAGAGACCTGGATTACATAAGGCTGCAAATGATGAGTACATTTTAACTCTGTTACATCGCAGGGGATTGTGTCTTTGAAAAACAAATATGCCCAAGAATATAAAACTTCAACATATTTGGGGGAAATTTTTTCACATCTCTTTCAACATTTAGTACACCACACAACACTGTGGGCCTCATTAGCTACTGCTACCAAGTGGCATCCCCTGAACCCTCCCCATTTGCCAGGCACAAGACCACCGGTACTACCTGACTTATTCTTCAAATAACCGTATGAGGCCTATACTAGTGTTAGGCTCCATTTATAAGTGGGGAAACTGAGACCTACAGTAATGGAGGAAGTTAGGCATTCAGCTCAGTTTAAAACCCCGCCTTGCCAGTCCAAGGCAGAGGCTAATTTTAGCCCTCTTACCAGCTCCGAGAGCGGACAGGGAAGTACAGGGCACCGAGCGGGTGTATTCCAAACAGACATTCCCCTACCAGAGAACTGGACACAGGATGTCCTAACAGGGCCGGGGAAAGGCCCAGAACGAAAACTGCTGGCCAGGACATCCGTGGGGAACATCTTATGAAGGTCACTGCAGGCTCCCGGCAAAGCAAAGGTCAGCCGCCGAGCGAACCCACGGGAGAAGGGCGGCGGCAGAGCGCGCGGCTTTCTGGAGGACCCCGGGAGGCGCGGGGAAAGGGAGAGCCGGGGTCCCGGGGCACCGCTTCCCGCAGGCGTCGGGGGCTGGGAAGGGAAACCGCGGCGCGACACCAGGGAGACAGGGCCCCGAGGGGCGCCACGGCGCCGGCGGGGCGAAGGGCGAGCAATCGCGGACAGCGCCCGGGACGCAGGCGCCCGGGCAGAGGCAGCGGAACGAGAAACCCCACGACGAGCCGGCCGCGGAGCCGGGGGACCCCCCGCCCGCATGCGCACGCCGGGCCGCGCCTCACCTGCTCCGCGCCGGCGCCGACATGCTCAGCGTCCGGGCCAGCCCCCGCGCGCCGCCGCCCCGGCCCGGTGCCGCGCGGGGTCCGGCGAGGACCTGCCAACGACGGGCCGCGCCGCCTAGAGCCGCGGACGCGGCGCGCAGCAGCCGCGCGCCCCCCGCGGCGGCCATAGCCGGTGGTCGGGTAACAACCGGAAGCGACGCAGGCCGCACGGCAGCGGCCGCGAGAGGCTCGGCGAGCGCGAACGGGCCGCTGCGCCGGCGCCGGACGCCCGGGGGCCCGCGGGGAGGAGCGCGGCAGCTGGGGTCCCGGCGAGGGCTTGTTTCGTGCGGCGGCCGCAGGCTGCGCGCGCCTTCCGGGTGACCTATAAACCCCGCGGCACCCCAAGCGCAGCGCCTCCCCCTGCCCGTTCCCACGCCTCCCGGGCGGGTGTGGCCTCTAGGGGGCGGGGCTGAGCGCGGGGCGCACGCACCTACCGACCAGGCTGCCTGCGCCTTGCTGCTCCGTCCGCCGTGGGCGCGCGGGAACGAGGAGTTCTAAGGGGCAGCCGAACGTTTGACGGAAAGTTAAGGTAAAACGACCCGCAGGTAACGAAACCACTTCTGTTCCTCACTCCTCTCGCCTTCTCCCTGTTCAAAACAAAAACCAATGTGGGCAGTTATCATCCTGGAGTTCAAATTAGAGGGAAAAATGAAGTCTGGGCATTGTCAAACAAGGACAGTAGGAAATCTCACAGTGCCAAAGACGTGATACACAGAGGAACAATTATGATTATGCAGTTATAAAGGTCGCAGTAATGAATAAACTCGGGGATACTGGAGAAAGCAGGTAATAGTCCGGGGTAAATAAATGCTTGTTCAGCACATGAAATCCATGTGTTTGGAAACTTTTTGATGAACTGAATTTTTTTTCCTTAGGGGTTGCTACAAAACGCAAGGAAGATGAAATTAAAAATACACGTTATCATGATTGATACGTTGTGGTGGAAAGAACATGGGCTTTGAGGTCAGAAATAGCAATGTTCAAATCCAAGGTCTACCACTCCTGAGCTCTGAGACCTTGGATGAATTATTGTCCTCGAGGATCACAGTTTCCAAAACACTTAAACACTGATAAGATGTTCCAGTCTCCAGGGCCGTTCTGAGGGTTACAGAAAAAACGCACAATGGCATACATAGTGCGTCACGAACGTTAATGTGATAACTTCTTGGGCCCCCTCCCTAAAGCCATCTTTAAAGACGCTAAAGATCATAGTCAAGTGGATTTTGCAGATGTGCCGAACACAATAAAAGATACTTCAAAGAATATTCAGAACAAGAAAGCATAGACCTGAGTAAAGTTTCTCGAAACAAGGTGTGCTGGGCATCGAACCTGATGGCAGAAGGAGGGCAGTCGTTTGGCTCCCAAATCGTCTAAATCTTCCCATAAAGAGAAAGACTTTCAGGCTGGAAAGGGCACAACAAACCTGACCAAGTAGTCGGAAAGAGGAAGTTGTAAAGAACAGTTAATTTTTTTTTTATAAGATCAAATCTTCAAAGTGAGATGAATTAATTGTAGGAAGAAAATAGGAGGGGCAGGGAATGCAAATGTTCTCTCTTCTCTCAACAGATCCAGCTTCAGCTGGGTTATAGTGCTTCCAGCTTTGTGCCTTGTGGGGTAATTTATATACATTGTTCATCTTAGTAGCCCTCATACTACCAGTCACAGGGCTTTGAGCATATCAAGTGGGCAGTAAATATTTGTGAATAAATGAATGTTGTCGTGTAACTTCCATTAGTAATCATGACAATTCCTGAAGCATGTACCTGAAAATTAAAGATGGAAAAAATGGACTCTGGATTTTCAAAGATGGATAAGGCTTGATTCCAAAGATTACAAATATCAATTCAGCAGTATTCCAGAGGGGATTTATATATTTCTCCACCTTATAAAACTCCCATCCCCAGGGCACCTGGCTGGCTCAGTCCTTAGAGCGCACATGACTCCTAATCTCAGGGTCATGAGTTCAAGGCCAACCTTGGGCTTGGAGCCTATTTAAAAAACAAAAAACTTCCACCTCTCCATCTGTCACTCCTGTCAAAATCTGTCCATATTTTGAAGCTCATTTCAAATTATGTCTTTCCCATGAAGTTGTGCCTGTTTATCCCAACCGATCATCCTTCCCCTCTGCTGAATGCTTAAGACCTCTGTCTATTCTTGTAAAACTGATGGTACCTGTTATTTCAAATAGAGTAATGTTCGTGAGGGTGCTCTGTAAACTGAAAAGTGTCATAAAAATTCAGATTTGGTGTTTATTGAGCCCCTACTCTGCACTTCATGGTACTGTGTGCTCCATCGTACATACTTTACGTAGCCCCTCTAGGCAGAAGCGCCCCCGAAGTAAGGATGCTACCTTACTCATCTTCGTCTGCCCAGCACCTGGCATAGTGCCTGGCGCAAAGCAGCCATTTAATAATGTGTCCGTTAAGAGCTGGGTTAGGAACTTTCACAATGTCTATCTCCTTTCATTATCACAGCAACTCTGTAGAGTAGACATGCCTTTAGTCAATAAATGCCTTTAATCAAAAAATATTTATTGACATAAGCAATGTGTAGATCACCATGCGAGTGCTACAGACACAGCAGTGAAGAAAATAATCCTTCCCCTCTTATTTTACAGATGAAACTGAGGTGCCCAGTGGTAGTTTTCTTGGAATCATACTGCTAGTGAGTTGTAGATCCAAACTGTAAATCTAGGTCTTCTTGGTCCCAAGTCCAGGGCATAAACACAAGAAATGATATTTTTATTCTTCTTATTATATTTTATTATGAATAGGTATAATTTTATTATATATATATTTTTATTTTAAGAGAGGGAGAGCAGGAGGAGGGGCAGAGGGAGAGAGAGACTCTCAAGCAGACTCCATGCCCAATGCAGAGCCTGACACGGAACTTGATCTCACAACCTGGAGATCATGACCTGAGCTGAAATCAGGAGTCGGACAGTTAACTGACTTAGCCACCCAGGTATCCCTATTATTATATATTATTAATGTGTATTTACATGTCACATTTTTCAACTCTGTATTCGATAGTAGATGCTTTAGATTCTACAGGGTCCCTATAATTTAGCAATAAGGTCAGCAATTATCTAAATTTTTTAAAAAGAATACAAAATTAGACCTAAGTATATTTCACCACAAGAAATTACCCCACCCCCAGGTGATTTATTAATATGGCTGATGATACTGATATATTTCCTAAATATAAAGATATAATTGATATTTAAATTAATTGACCTTCCTGCCTGCAGTCTCGTCTTGCTCTAAGACATCCTCCATACTGCTAGTAGGCTGATCCCATTAAAATACTGGTATGATTCTGTTACTTTCTTGATGAATATCCTTGAGTGACATTTTATCACCATTTATTTATAGCATAAAACAAACTGCTCAGCCGGACACACAACCCCCCTCAAGCTCTGCCTTCCACTGCCCATCAGTCCCGTATCATGCCTTTCTCCTCTGCAGGTTATGTTGGCAGCCTGAACCTGGCTGACTTAGAACCGGTCTCCAGGGCTCCAGTCCTTGGAGGAACCATTCTCTGACACATGCACCTTTGGGAGCCTTACACACTAGAAATCCCTCTGTCACAGCTTAGAATTAAATTGTTACATGCAAATAAGAGCTTGGATCAAGTGACTTGCTCAGTTTCAAGTCCCGTTTCTTTGTTAAGATTACTTTTTATATACTTCTTAACTTTTTAATGTGTCCTTCAAATGTTAATACTTGGTTGTCTTTTTTTGTCACGTTAGCCACGGGTGATGAACAATTCACTTGGGGTTGCAAAATGCAGGTGTTCTAATCCTATCATTCCTTCTTCATTGATCACCTAGACTACTTCTCTAGACAGATTTGCCTTCATCTTCTATTCAGATCTCCTCTGAACCTGTATGGGAAAGGCAGGATAAAGGCTTGTTTCCCTTTATTTATTTGCTGTACTTACAGGTTTATTCATGTTTTCTCTTTACTCAAAAGCTGATTTAAAAGTTATAATCTTCTGGGGCGCCTGGGTAGCTCAGTCAGTTAAGCATTTGACTCTTGATTTCAGCTCAAAATCATGATCCCAGTGTGGTGAGATTGAGCCCCTCGTCAGGCTCCACACTGGGCGTGGAACTTAGATACTCTCTCTGCCCTACCCCCCCCTTTAAAAAAAAGTTATAATTTTCTAATAAATAGTATATTTCACCTAGATTTTCAAAATCTGTTGGCATAAATTTTTTTCCTAGTGTCACCTTTTTAAAAAAAAAATCTCTGATGTATCTATAACTACATTTCATAATTCTTATATTATTTTCTGAGTTTTTTCATATTTCTTTTTTTTAAAGATTTTATTTATTTATTTGACAGAGAGAGAGAGACAGCAAGAGAGGGAATACAAGCAGGGGGAGCGGGAGAGGGAGAAGTAGGCTTCCCGCTGAAGAGGGAGCTCGATGTGGGGCTCGATCCCAGGCCCCTGGCATCATGACGTGAGCCGAAGGCAGACGCTTAACAACTGAGCCACCCAGGCACCCTTTTTTCATATTTCTTATATTATTTTCTGAGTCTTTTTTCTTTGAATAATCTTAGCAAAACTTTGTTTTATTGGTCTTTTCAGATAACAGGTTTGGACAGTGGTTTTCTGTGCTATATCTTTGTTTTCTAATCTTGCTCATTTTTTTTTTTAAGATTTTATTTATTTGACAGAGAGAGACACGGCGAGAGAGGGAACACAAGCGGGGGAGTGGCAGAGGGAGAAGCAGGCTTCCCGCGGAGCAGGGAGCCCGAT